CAGCTACATATCCTACCGCCAGTCGTTCGCGCATCATCCAGCCAAGAAGCCACGTTATCTCGGAGCTTCCAATGGCTTCTCCGATAGCCTGTCGCAGCCTGAAGAAAGCCGGCGACTCATTTCAGAAACCGGCGGTCTCGACGACGATGGCGACGCAATTATCGAGATGGACGTTTTGCCCCCGCGCTGGGTTGACGTACAGGAGGAAGTGACGGAGCTACTTGCGGACATTGCGCAGAAGTCCTCTCACCTCGATAAGCTACATCAAAAACACCTTCTACCCGGATTCGGAGACGAGGATGTACGAAAGCAAGATGAATTAGTTATAGAGCGGCTCACACAGGATATCACGCGCTCCTTTCATGAATGCCAGAAAGCAGTTAAGAAGATCGAGACGATGGTACGGGAAGCTCAACAACAGGGTGGAGTTAGCAGCGGCGATGAAACCATGGCCAAGAACCTGCAAATATCTCTTGCTGCTAGGGTGCAAGAGGCTAGTGCTCGGTTCCGGAAGAAACAGAGTACCTATTTGAAGAGTGAGTTTATTCTGGGCTGGGCTACGTCTGTCTGTTAAGCTAACCGCAGTTGTCTGGTAGAGTTACGAGGACTCGAGGGTGGATCAGCGCCATTTGAACGTTCCCCGACACCGATGCAGAACCCATACACAGACCCGTCGCTAATGGAATCCGATGCGGACAAGTCATTCTCGCAATCTACGCTGATGCAGACGTCGCAACGACTGACGGGCCAGAACGATGCCGCCATTGAACAGCGGGAGCGGGAAATCAACGACATCGCGAAAGGAATCATTGAGCTGTCGGATATTTTCCGGGAGCTGCAGTCTATGGTTATCGATCAGGGTACCATGCTGGATCGGATTGACTATAATATCGAGCGGATGGGCACGGAGGTCAAGGCCGCGGATAAAGAGCTGAAAGTGGTACGTTCGCGTCCGATGCAGCCACCCGAGTATTCCTGCTAACCAATCTGCATCTTGCAGGCTACAAACTACCAACGACGTACAGTGAAGCGCAAGATCATGCTCCTGCTGGTGATCATAGTCGCAGGCCTGTTTATTGTTCTACTAGTCAAGCCGAAGAAACACAGTTCCCCGGATCCCGCTCCGGCACCGGCGCCGCCACCTCCCCCGCAAACTAATGAACAGCCGCCCGCAATGACTCCTCGTGCCTTCCATACCATATACCGCCGCAGAAGGAGTCCCTCTTCGTTACGGATTGCGAGAAACAAATGGGGTGACCCGGATATATTTCGATAGTTCGCATTTCAGCGTTCCATGATAATAGTAATGAAACTAATTCAAATGTATTCCAGCGACGTATTGATTCCTTTCGAGAGAAATTAATTCGTCCTGCGGGCATAAATCTCGGACGTATTGCTAATCGCATAAACAGTGGATATCCAGATATTATCATAATAGGCAAGAATGGGCGTGCCTCGCAACAGAAAACGGATAACTACATTCTCAGTAAACAGCACATAAGACGACAGAATAAATAATGTTGAAAGTAAAAATGGAGCCTGTCGGGTTGGAAGATAAGCAAGCTTGCGCCTGCCACCGACCGCAGAGTGTGTGAATCTAAAAGGCCTATTGCTGGGCATCACCTTCCTGTTTCAAGAGCTCAGCTACATCGGCATCCAAGTCGCCGCCTGCGAATTGAGCGTAATCCTCCTCTTCATGCGTAACCTTGCGTCTCTTGGCATGGAGCCCGTTCGAACCGTCAGTTTGGTGCTCGCCGAGTCCCGCGGTAGGGAAGCCCGCCGCCGAAAGTGAAGAATCGGCCGGATTTCCGAACCCAGGCAGGGTAAATCCACCCAGTATCTGGGGTTGAGGAGGTACTGCGCTGAAGTCTGAGTCCTGTGCGGCCTGCTTGGGAGAGCCAACAGGTGTAATGGCCTCAACTGGTGGAGGAGTCAGGGCCTCAACTTCTGGACGAGAAATAGGCTCTCCCTCTGGCCCAGCATCGCCATGGTTGATCGCAGGCGAATTCTCGGCAGAGAGCCCGCGCATAATCCCATCTTCAACCTCTCTTTTGGTGGCTTCCGTCTCCGATTTTCTGTCCGTCAACTGTGCGACCATTGATTGTTCCTTGGATAAAGCTGAGCGATTGGTTGCGAGGAGCTTCTCGAGACCCTCGATGAGAGCGGTGCGTGATTTGATGACCTCGGATACAGAGCTTTCTGCATTCGCAAGGGCTTTCAACAGCTGGCTAAGCCGCGCCGCATGCACTGGAGGGGTAGGCAAAGGCGTGTTGGGGTCGTGCATCTTGTCATACTCTGCATTCGCAGCTGTGGCAGATGCAGTTGAAGCCACGGTAGCCTTTGAAACGGCTACCTGTAGAGGCACTAGAGGCTGAAGTTCAGACGGTGTTGAGCCCGACGAGCTCGAGAAGAGGGACCCTCCTAGCAACGGCTTTTTACCGGTAGAGCGGGACTTATCGATCTCTACTACGGAGTAAGCAGGATGAATGAAGTATGGAACAGCAAGACGACCTACCATCTACTCGAGCTTCTACGGCCTCCTGAATGGGAAGTTCAAAGATAGATCTCTGTCGCCATACTTCAACCACGCGACGAATCTTTTGTTGAATATCGTTTGAGGAACCTTTGTATGCGATAGCCGTGGCCTCTGCGATGATCTGGTAAATGTTAACCTCTAATACCTGCCAGATTCCAAAGATGATGAACCAACCGGCGAGAATGCGATGAGGAAGTCCTCTTTCCGGCGAGCTCTAGACTGTTGCGCGACCTCTGAGATGCTGTTAGTGTCGAACTACAACCGACTCGGAACATGAGCTATACCATTGGCCAAATATATCAGGTTCAGGCGCTTCGGTGCTGGGGAATCGCGGAGTTTCTGCAGCCAGAGCTGTGCGGTTCGTTCGGCGTGTCGTCTAAGATTGAAATAACATATGAGCAGAGTCTTTGTATATACGAACAGTTGTCATCTTACCTGTGAAACATGACCCATTGCGCAACTGTGACAATGCCTTCCTGGGTTTCGTTGAGGGCTGAAAGCTTCGCTTTCACAGCATCATCCGTATAGGCCATTTTTAATACTTGCTAATATTGCCAAGGTAGAAGAGATCTCTGGTAGAAAGAGTAATGAAAGATGTGTGAATGCAGTGTGTTTTGATCGCCGCGAGCTTGGACTTGGATCGCAATTCCTTAAGCGCGAATGCTGGAGCGAGTGACAACGGGCACAATGTACCAAGAATGCGCAATAGAAAATAAATTCACTTCAGCTCGAGTCAGACTGATATGACCACTGCCCTGGATATCTGACGTGAAAGAGTGAAATGGTCCTGAGGAACAGTGAAGCTCATCCGTCGCACCTGGTAATTGCTGTGTAGCTGTCAGACCGCCTTCCTGGCAGAATCCGGGGGGTTCTCCATTCATACTTGGAACGGTCCGCTCGATCCCCAAGACGCCAGCTGGAGCCTTACGTTCACATTCTCATCTCTCCTCATTTGACCCCTTTCTCTTTGTTCAACTTCTTTGCGAAATCAATCTCTAACTCAGTTTACGATAATTGAAAAGTATGGCGGATCGTTTCCCTTCATTGGAGGACTTCTCTGCAGGTGAGCAGCCGGCATCATGCCCGCCAACACTACATAACACTAACCCCGGTCTCTAGGCCAGACCGAAGTCGTTGAGACCAACGGCGCCTCAGATGAAAATGACTTCCTAGCTCGCGAACGGGCTATGCTCGGTGATGATGCAGAACAATTTGCGACTCCCCAAGATCATGTCGCTGAGGACATAAACAATGACGACGACTTGCTGGGAGGTGCGGATGCCGCCCCGTCCGCGGGTGGTGTTGAGCCTCAGGAGATCGCTGGATTCGAGTCTTCCTTCCCTGCTCTCGACACACAAAACGAGGTATGAGACATGTCTGGTATATTCTTGGGGGAATCTCTAACGTGACTGCGAATTTACCAGCAAGTTGCTCCTGGCGGCACAATCACTGGGTCGGGTGCCCCCTTTCCACCCACCGGGTATTCCAACTACACCTCTCAAGCCCCGGAGGAGGAGCCAGAGCCCGTCAGGTATGTGTCACCCACATCAGCAGCCAGCCAATGACTTTCATAACTCTTTGCTATGTCACTTGTATGGGATCCGTGTGCTAATGGTAGATGTCTTGCAGGGAATGGCGTGAGCGGCGAGATGCGGACATTCAGCGTCGTGCGGAGATCTCGGAGGAGAAGAAGGAAGCTACCATAAAGAAGGCGCGCGAGGATATTGACGACTTTTATGTCTCATACAACAACAAGACCGACAAGCTTCGTGCCCAGACTCGCGCTGAGGCAGATCAGTTCCTGTCCAACCGGGAGGACACTTCTTCTGGAGGTACTAGCTGGGAACGCATCGCGAAGCTCGTCGATGTCTCCGGAAAGGGAACCAAGGGTGGTGCCAGCGGCTCCGGCAAGGAGCGCTTCCGAGAGCTGCTCCTTGACCTCAAGAAGGACCAGAATGCCCCTGGTGTCAGCGGCGTTTAAGCAGCTGAAACTATAATGGGTTCCAACTACAAGGACTCTGGATGCGAAGAAGGCCGAATTCCACAAAATAAGACTTTGGTCTAATGATACATCTCAGAGAGTGGGAAAGAGTTGAAGCACTGGAGATTACCCTTGTCCTCTGCATTCCAGCGCCTTTTATTATCACGACCGTCACCATTCATACCACCTCCGTGCGCCTCAAATTCTCGACCCGATCATACTTTCTTATACAGAAGTTCTTCAAGTACTCGAGATAATAGCTATTTCTCGGTACATGTGTCTTCTGTTCAATTCTTAAACACATGTCTTCTTATGTTGCTTATTTCCCCTTGATGTAGGTAGATTACATACTTTGGAACATTTTAATTGCCTTCCACGTCCATTACTACCTTAAAGAACGGCGCTTCTGCAAAACATCAAGAGACTTGGTATTCGCTAAAAGTACATCTTACTTGGAGCATGTATTCACACATTGTAATCCTCCTACTCGGAGGTAGGGGCTTAGATGCTACATTAACAATCTGAGTTCATCCAAATCAACCATTAACACAGTCGCTGTTGACGAATACAAACATTTCCACCATCCCAAACATATGCATTATCATTTTTCATACCTCAGTCCAGCTCGGTGATATCGCCTCCCGGTTCACCTACTTCCTGTTCCTCTCTTTCCCTCTTGTTCTCTGCCTCGATTTCTTCCAGCTTCTTCCTTCCTTCCTCCGTGGTCGCATCAACAATGCCTTCCTCCAGGCTCAGCATGCCACTCTGTCCTAGCTTCTCAACGACATCTTCAGCTTCTTCAACGCTCATCCTACCGAGGACCTTGTTGACCTCATCCAAGGACTCCGACGCCAAGGCTTTCTGTAGATCCTTGGAGAACGATTCGTACACCTTGCGCGCCTCAACCTCAACAGGGTCATCGCCCTCAGCAGAGGGTATGTTAATGGTGATCTTAGTGTTCGGGTCGACTGCATGCAGCTGGATCTGTTCCACTCCAGCGGGGTCGTTAGAAGCAGAGCCGTCTTTCGCCAGCTCCGCGGCGCGGGTCTTAATTTTATGGTAAGTTTCGTTTACGTCGTTCCGGAAGAGGGTTCCAGCCTGGTGGTCTGCGTTTGTGATACTATAAGAATATACCTGTTAGCAAGCGACTCAAGCGAATCGATCGTTGGCATACGCACCGCTTGAAAAAAAGCGAGATACCGTCCCGACCCAGGGAGCGGCAGTACTGCAACAACAAGCCTTGGTGAACGCAGGTGCGGGCGTAGTCTTCTTTGCCCTCCATTTGGCTGTTGAAAGCTTCAACCAATAGACCATCCGTTTCCTTCTCAGCAACAATCTGGGGGTTCTCGGAGATGAATTGAAGCAAAGCACGGTAATCGTTGCGGTTAATTTTCGCGAACCGTTTGGCAAGTTCACTGGCCTTGACGTTCTCGGGATCCTCCTCTTCGTCATCATCGTCAGCAGCTGGGGCAGCAGCTTGCTGGGATGAGCCCGCCGTAGAAGCTCCAGGGTTCAGAAGCTCGACTGTCTCCGTCTTTTCGCCCTTAGCTTCGCCGGGCTTGGCAATGTGGGAAGTGTTGAACCCCTCGTGCAACCCCTCACTGGTGATCTTGCTGCCTTCTTCCTTCTCAAGCTGGGCAAGTCTCTGGAGAAGCTCCTTTTGTAAGCCCTGCACCTTATCGTTGTGCCTCTGAACACCCTTGATATATTCCTGATAGAGGTTCTCCGAACTGACGTCGCCCATTTCCTTCTTCACCTGGTCAACCAGAGCGCTCATCATCTGTGAGTACTTAGGCTGTTCCTTCTCCTGAGTATGAACTCCTGCCGGGGCTGCGGGAGGATGGTCGTCCGATGGGTTGCCTGCAAACTCCATAAGGTTCTGGAAGATCACTTCCTCGACGGACTTGGAGCCTTCATTCTGCTTCAGGGCCGTAAGAAGCTTATCGATTCGTGAAAGGAGGCCGTTGTTGACAATATGCTCGTACTTCAGCGTCTCGATCTCATGGCGGCGTTGGGCACGTTGTTGATGGATCTGGGCTTGTTTGGCCCGGATGAAAGAACGCTTGTCGACATTCGGGTGCACTTCAATGTCGGAGTCATCAGACAGCTCCAGTGCATCCCATTTGCTGTAGTCAAGCACCATGTTGGGCGAGTGCGGAATGTAATCGATGGTATAAGGAGGGGTGAGGGTGGGGTAAACGAGTAGATGTATAGAGCCTGGAAATGGGGTGGAGTCGTTTGTACGGATATAATTTCAGTTAATATATGGTCAGCGACCTTGACTCCAAGTTAGCTTCAGAGCTTAAAAACCTAGAAATGCACGAGCGCAGCCTATCCCAGCGTCTGAGGGATCATCGAAAGCTCTCGACCAGCTTCGACGGCGGCGGAATCAGGGCAGGCGGTGTCCACAGGCAGAACCGTCGCCGATGCGAGGCCGAACGGCGATGGCCGGACTCGCGGCTTCACGGCTGACATGTTCTGCCTTCCAAGCGTCTAGCGGTCTCCCGGAGAGCGATTTATCTTTGATTTGTCATGAGATCTAGCAGACACCGGGCTGTCTAGTGGGATATGGCACCCTGATTACTCCGTTTGGCATCCATTTGAGCAGCCATCCGAATCCGCTTTCTATCGTCCGAAATGCGCGGAGCCAGGTTGCTGGCTTCCTGGGCCCCCGGCGTCACCGCCAGACGGGGAGCTCAGGTAAATGGGAGCATACTCAATGAGCTTTACTTTGGAGCTCGTCCACATCAATCTGGAATTGGCATCTTTGGCGTCCCTAGCCGTCAATTCTCGGGCATCTCGGGTTCATTACGCAACAACCTCTCGCTAACGTCTGGACTATCCACCCGTCAAAGTAGCGGTTCACGGTTCGATATCATACGGTCGCAATTAATAGCGCAATCTCGGTTCTTTTCCTCTTCGCAACGGTCATTGGAATCCAAACCAGTGGACTCATCGGCTAAATCTGCTCAAACAAACAACGCCACGGCTCAGGACAAGGAAGATGAAGACATAGACAAGGGCTTCGAGCTATCCGAAAAGGGAGCGCAGGCTGCGCAGGTAAACCTTGCTGCTAAGCTGTCGAAAGACGGATCTGGTAACAAGAAAGCCGGCTTCAAAGAGATATGGAGACTCCTGCTCATTGCGCGACCCGAAGCTAGAAAGCTCGGGTTTGCTTTCTTTTTCCTGCTTATTTCGTCATCGATCACCATGTCCGTTCCCTTCTCCATCGGCAAAATCATGGATGCAGCTACAAAGACCTCTGACGAAGAGGGCGGTGAAAACTTGCTCTTCGGCTTGAGTGTACCGATGTTCTATGGAGCTTTGGCCGGTATCCTTACACTGGGTGCCGCTGCCAACTATGGCCGCATTGTCATCCTCCGTATCGTTGGAGAGCGCATTGTCTCAAGGCTTCGCTCTAAGCTTTTCCGTAATACTTTTGTGCAAGATGCGGAATTCTTCGATGCGAACAGAGTGGGCGACTTGATCTCACGACTCGGTTCTGACACCATTATCGTGGGCAAAAGTATCACGCAGAACTTGTCGGACGGCTTACGAGCAGCGGTTAGTGGTGCAGCAGGCTTTGGTCTGATGACCTATGTCAGTCTCAAGCTGTCCAGTGTCTTGCTTGTGCTATTGCCTCCGATTGGTCTCGGCGCCTTCTTCTATGGTAGGGCGATAAGGAACCTCAGTCGCAAGATCCAGAGAAACCTCGGTACTTTGACCAAGATTGCGGAAGAGCGTCTTGGTAATGTCAAGACTAGCCAGTCTTTCGCTGGTGAGATCCTCGAAGTGAACCGGTACAATAACCAAGTGCGCAAGATTTTTGAACTTGGCAAGAGGGAATCTTTGATTAGCGCTACCTTCTTCAGTTCCGTATGTTCCCCTGTATTTGTGCGCTTATCACTTAGTATCACTTAGCTGACAGCACAATCAGACTGGCTTCATGGGCAACATGACAATCCTTGCATTGCTTTATGTTGGAGGCGGCATGGTTCAGTCAGGTGGCATCACGATTGGAGAGTTGACATCCTTTTTGATGTATACTGCTTATGCCGGTTCCAGCATGTTCGGTCTCTCTAGCTTCTACTCCGAGCTGATGAAGGGTGTTGGAGCTGCTAGTCGTCTCTTCGAATTGCAGGATCGTGAGCCGACGATATCCCCGACGAAGGGCAAGAAGGTTGAATCGGCCCGTGGTCCTATTCGTTTTGAAAACGTGAACTTCAGCTATCCCACGCGACCTGCCGTTCCTATTTTCAAGGAATTGAACTTTGAGATCCCACAAGGAAAGAACGTCGCCATCGTCGGTCCTTCAGGTGGAGGAAAATCAACCATTGCTTCGCTTCTACTGAGGTTCTACAACCCAACCGAAGGACGGGTCCTGATTAACGGCCAAGACATCAGCGAGATGAACGCCAAGTCCCTTCGCAGGAAGATTGGTGTTGTTGCTCAAGAGCCTGTCCTGTTCTCGGGATCAATTGCTGAGAACATTTCTTATGGCAAGCCACGGGCTACTAGGTCAGAGATCATCGCAGCAGCCAGAAAGGCGAACTGCCAGTTCATCAGCGATTTTGTAAGTGGACAACTTGCTTTCTGACTTGACAATTTTCTAACTTATTTCAGCCCGATGGACTTGATACTCAGGTTGGACCTCGCGGCGCTCAACTATCTGGTGGGCAAAAGCAGCGCATTGCCATTGCTCGTGCTCTCATCAAAGATCCCGATATCTTGATTCTGGATGAGGCAACCTCTGCTCTTGATGCAGAATCTGAGACTTTGGTCAACAGCGCTCTTGCTGCCCTTCTTCGTGGAAACAACACGACCATCAGCATCGCTCACAGACTGTCTACGATCAAACGCTCTGATACAATCATCGTGCTTGCCCCTGATGGAAAGGTGGCCGAACAAGGGACTTACGAGGAGCTTAGCTCTCGTCCTGACGGCGCCTTCACAAAGTTGATGGAATGGCAAATCAGTGGTGGCGAGAACACGCCGGCAAACGCCCCTATCAGCCCAGCGACAGAAGAAAAATTGTGGCAGTTGGAGAAAGAGGAAGCTGAAGCTGACATCGAAGATGCCAGCAGCGAACGCGATCAGCAGAAGAAGTAGGTGCGTCCACTACTCCATAAATGTGGAGACGCCTACCTTTCTGGACACCCATTTGTTATTTTCTTTCTTTTCTTCGTTATCTTGTTTTCAGCAGTGTAGAGTATATAGCTCCTGTATGGGGCACATAGTACACTATTGTCTAGACAGCTGGGCCGCCTTAAGCTGGATGTACTATCTACCTACTGGATACCCCCCACACCGGGGTGGCTCAGCTTTTGGTGACTGGATAGATAAAATATAATACCCATCTCTACTTCTGAACTATGCTCTCTGTGCAATTGCTGACATGCTATTCGAGCTCTTGAGCTATCGAAGTTACTACTTAGTAGTTGATGGTTGTTGAATTGATAAGCCTCTTAGTCACCCAGCCCAACGTGACCCGCGGATTACCATTCTTGGCGAGTGTCACGCCTCATGACCAGCTGCTGCTCATCTTCTTGTCCTCCCCGTCGATCTTCCCTGCCTCACTTTTTTCCACCATCATGGGCTGAGTCTCGTACTACTCCCTGTCCCCTCTCATCGTTTGAACAGGGGCAACCCACAACTCGCTACAATGGAGCGTATCCGCGGGCTTATCGCTCGCCGGCCTACGTATGAAGCAATCGAGCAGCCGGTTGACGCCGACAATGAGAGCATTCACTCTGCTCATGAGGAGCTGGAGCATCCCCGTTTCTCCAAATACGAATATGCAGTATTCTTCCTCCTGGGAGTGTCGATGCTATGGGCATGGTATGTCCCACCTTACAGCAACTGCATTGACTGCATCTATCTAACTAGACCGGAACGTCATAGGAACATGTTCCTCGCTGCTGCACCATACTTCTACCACCGTTTCCACACAGACGACTGGGCAGCAACGCATTATCAACCTTCAATATTGACTGTATCCACCGTTACTAACTTAGGTTCCTCGTTCATCCTAGCCAAGCTGCAGAAGGGAGCATCATATCCGAAGCGGGTCACTATCTCCTTGCTTATCAACATCGTGGTATTCACGCTCTTGGCCTTCTCCACCATCCTAATGAAAGATGTCTCAGTGAGCACATACTTCGGTTTTCTCATGATCATGGTATTCGGGGCCAGTCTTGCGACCGGAATAAATCAAAATGGCGTGTACGCTTACGTCTCCGGCTTCGGAAGAGAGGAGTATACCCAAGCCATCATGGGCGGCCAAGGCGTGGCGGGTGTCCTGCCCTGCATTGTCCAGATCCTCACCGTGATCTCCGTACCAAGCAAGAACGAAGGACAGAAAGCACCTCAGGAGTCATCCAGATCCGCTTTCGCGTACTTCATCACGGCCACAGCCGTGTCGTCCTTCGCTCTGCTTGCCTTCCTATCCCTCGTAAAGCGACGCGCATCTTCAACTCTCTTAGACCCAACGGACGATCACAGCGACTCAGATGTGCCCGAGAACAAGTCCGTCAGCCTCTGGACGCTCTTCAAGAAGCTCCGCTTCATGGCCACAGCCATCTTCCTCTGCTTCACCGTCACCATGACCTTCCCCGTCTTCACAGCGGAGATCGAATCCGTCCACGACACTCCCGGACGATCTCGACTCTTCGACCAGGCTGTCTTCATCCCTCTTGCATTCTTCTTCTGGAACGCGGGTGACCTGCTGGGCCGAATGCTCGTCCTATTTCCCCGTCTCTCTTTAGTGAACCGTCCCTTTGTGCTGTTCCTCTTCTCGATTGCCCGAGCCGCTTTCATCCCGCTGTACCTCCTCTGCAACATTCGCGGCCGGGGTGCAGTGGTGGAAAGCGACTTCTTCTACCTGTTCGTCGTGCAATTGCTGTTCGGCATAAGTAACGGGTACTTGGGGAGTAATTGCATGATGGGTGCTGGACAATGGGTGTCTCCTGATGAACGTGAACCTGCAGGTGGGTTCATGGCATTGATGCTCGTAGGCGGGTTGACTGCGGGAAGCTTGATGAGCTTTTTGGTTGCTGAGGCTTGATTTCGGGTATATATCGGTGAGATTTCATTGGTGTCTGGTGTTGTTGTTATAGATCGGGCGTCATAAGTACTTTACTGCTGCCGTGTGTAGACGATGATTGATAGGCTATTTGTCACTGAGCTGCTTAGCAGCACCATTTCGATCTACATATTGCCCAATCGATCACAGGTATATAGCCACGGGGCAGAGACAATCATAGACATGTCGCTCATACGAAGGTATTACTCAGAACCAAAAGGCCTTCATGCCATCAAGATACATT